GTTAGTGCTATTCTCACCTTTCTGCACTTGTTTCCGCAGCGGCTCGTCTCCTCAACTCTGCGTCCTCTTTTCTGCTTTTTAAACGAGTGTGAGGCGGAAGCTGGCGGCGTTTGCATTGATAGTTATTAGAAATTGATCCGTGTTCTGCCTTTGTTCAGTTCAATCATTGATCAGCGGTGGAGCAGCCTCTGTGTTAGCCACGCCGGGCTGGGATCAGCACCGCGGACAGCACTGCTCTTTACAGCCAGTCGAGCTCTTTTTCCGGCTCTTTTCCTGCTGATTGTCCGCGACAAGCACCGCCGTGATAACACGTCCGGAAACTTTTAATGCGCCCTTCAATCTCTGTTCGTGGACGAAGGCTGTAACTTTTTCACCCAGCTTCATGTTTTATGCGGTTTGTTGTCGACGGCCGACGCGTTGCTGCTGCTGCTGCTGCTGCTGCTGCATCTTTCAGTAGGCTTTAGTACAATTCTTGCAATTTTTTTTTTACACATTTTTTTTTTGTGTGATGAAGAATTTTGCATGTTGGGGAAGTTTGATTTTGTGGACGGGAAAGTTTATTTTGTGGACATAAAGACATTTAATGCGAAATAATCGGGTTATGTGTTCGGGGGGTTTGTGCACATTCAGAGACGGTGTAGCCGACACACAGGAAGTGCAACATAGGCTACATCCAGTTAGAGGCTACTTATCATAAAGAGCAGACGAGCTTTGAGGGTTCAAAGACAACAGATGTGTGTGATTAAGAGCCTGCAGGATGTGTCAGGTGAGCAGTTTGTTTAACATGTCACCACACAGTCCCAGTATGCATTGCATGTCCGCCTCTTGCTTCACCCACTGCACTCAAAGTTGCATTTTTAAACCTCAGTGCTGGCAGGCTGTAGCTGCTATTCCTGGAAGAAAACGTTACAAAACACAAGGTTGAGGAAGCTAACCGCTGATTTCAGTGTCCACTCCCCCCCTCATCCCCTCTCCTCTCCTCCTCTCCTCTCTCCTCTCTCCTGAAGCCGCATAGGGCTGCTCGGCCGGGGGGGGCTGTGTAATTGTATTCCCCGCTAATGTTTGTAAATCAGCCTCGGCCGGCGCAAGGGCAACAGCGTCTGTGCAGTGTGACTGATGTTCTGTAACATGAGAGATGACAGGAGCATGGCAGGTGGAGGAATCAGATGGTGCTCGTCGGGTGTTGTTCCTGCTCCCGGCCGCTGGACCTCCTCTCTTTCATCCGGGCAGCACGGGATCCATGAGGGGCGAGGGGGAGCTATTGTTGTGTCGGCTTCATGTCGCGTCCTCTCTCCGCATCCTCTCAGGATCACATCAGCCTCACGGTGATCATTAACATGTAGGCTTTACATTCAAGGATTTTTTTTTTGTCATTAAATGTGAGTGAGGAGTGGAGGAGCTAAATCTGAACTGCCCCTTAAGGATGCCCGAGACATTACCCAGTGTCATGAGCAGTGATGTAGTGGTTTAGAATAAAAACAAGGTGGCCTCTATACTGCAGGCACTTCATGTAGAACAATAATCCTAAACCATCGTGTCCCCTCAGATGACCTCATTGTCATGAAGCTCCCTGTGACACCAGGAGTGTGGCTGGTGGATTTCTGTCTGTCTGTAGAGGCGGCTTAATGAAAGAAATGTGACAAAGTGAATAAAATAAAGGAGATATAGGAACATCTGCAGCCCTCCTGGACTGTAGATGTTCATTGTCCTGATATTGTGAACACAAAAAGTAAAACACTATCGACCAATCGTGCAAACTGATTATTTGATAAAACTGCTAAAAACATGAATTTACAATGTCAAAGTCCAGAAGAGACAAAGCACCTGGTTTGAATCAGCAGGTGTGAAGAGCACGCCTTGACAAAGTGCATGTATCTTTGTAAGTCATAGAAGGTTAGAATTAGAAGCGTATTATAGGAGCATGCACGTGTTGAGAAGTTTTCCATTTGAAACATTGAGAACAGATTTGATAATTTTCTCTGTCAGCAGCTCTGATTAACATCAGTAACTCCCCTGTTTGCAAACATACCTGTAGCTTTAATGTGACGGGACAACATGCATCAGAAATAAGAGAATTCACTCTTTTAGTTGTGATTTATAGAGCTCGTTCGGTGTCAAACCATCACAGCACTTTCAGCACGTCAGGCCTCACAGAACAGAAATGTAACGCTGGATTATTTATTCTCTCATTACAAGATATCAGTAAACTGAGTGTGCAGGTTTTATTTGTTTCTTCTCGTGTTTGTGCAGTAGATTTTGTGCCTGTGAGTTGTACAGGATGAATAATTCACCTGCAGGCAGATGAAAAGAGGGCAGGGAAAGTGCGAAGCGCTGAGGTGGATTGACCTTGGTTCCTGCTGGCTGCAGGTCACCCGGCCGTTGCTGTGGTAATCATTCACACCAGCCAGATGGCATTTCCGTGGGCGAGCATGAAAAGGACGGGTCAGGGTCTGTCCTGCCAGGTCCTGCCAGGCCCCCAAAAAACAACTCTGGGCCAATACAGTAGAGAGAGAGAGAGAGAGAGAGGGAAGAGAGATGGTCAGAGCAGGTGGAGGAGGATTTGTTCAGTTATATCAGATGAACTTTTCTTTTCATCATTTATCAGACACATTAAAACCTTTAATTGTCCTAATTGCCTTCAGAAAAAAAACAGTGTTTTTTCAGGGTATCATCAAAGCCGACCAAAAGGCCTTTATTTTTAATTTGACTTTAGAAAAGTCGGGCGCCGTGCCTCTGCTACTAGTTACTTCTATCCCTCTGTTGTTTTAAGCGATGTTGCAACGCTGCGCTCATACGGAGAAATAATTCTCTGCTTATTTGTTACTGTTCTTTTTTTTTTTTTGTGTCCGCCTTGTTTCCACTCTCTCTTCCATGAATCTAAGAGGCAGTGTGGGGTTTTTAGATCAGGAACAAAAGCTTGTGATTGTACTACATTTAGCATGACTCAGTTGCTCTGGTGTCAGCTCTAATCCGCACACAGAGACAACAGTATTGCCAAACAGTGAAATTGCTTTGCAGCCTGTGAGCCTGGCTGCCTCCGCTGCCAGCCTGCTCTGTGTGCTGTTTGCCAGTAGCTCTCTCACACACACACACACACACACACACACACACACACACACACACACACACACACACACACACACACACACACACAACAACAACAACCCTGCAATCTCAAATTGGCTGTGAAAATGGCTCTCTGTCTCCCTTTCATTCATGCTTTCACATATTTGTTTGCTGATATTGTTAATGTCATTGTAGCGGCGAGTCAGTCAGTCAGGCATCTGCGCTCTTCTTTTTATTTATCATAATAACTGTATGGTTTTTTTTATTCATATGCTGTGATGGATATAAAAAGTCTTTTTCCAGCTGACCTCCTCGTCGGCTGCTGTGTGAGCTCATTATCTCATTTCTCAACACTTGTCTTCTTTTGTCAGCTCTTTAGCAGATCAAGAGCTGTGTTTAAATGTTAAAGCCACATCATCATCATCACTGCTTTGAGTCATATAAACACTTCTGAACATGCCTTCACTACTACTTGTGAGAGTGGATGGGTGGGGCATGTCTTTCTGACAGGGACAACAAAGCAGATAAGAAAGAGGACTATGTGGGGCAGATTGAGATGTGAAATGGTGCAGCTGTAACCCTGGTACATAAAACGCAGGCAAACATGAGAGAGAGAGAGAGAGAGAGAGAGAGAAAGAGACTTGAGCATTAAGCTGTTTAACCTCTCCGTGTAGCATTAGTGGTAGAGACTTCAAAGCAGACGCTTCAGAATGACAAATGGGTTTAGAGACAGCTACGGTGAGCATTCTCACAGGAAGACTAGGCCTGTCATTAACGTCAGCTTAATCACTTTGACCTTCCTTCAACTAGATTTCCATACCTATCCAATCATTTTGCTTTGCCCGTGCTCCTGTGTGCAGCGGGCGATGTGCTGCTGTGTGATAAGTCACCGTGTGAGCATGTTACTGTCTCCATCTGCGACTTGAAATATCCTGAAAGCTCTAATATTAAAGGATTGCTTCACGCACACTACATCTTTTTTTTCACTTTCTATTAGTGCGATCCTGTCACGCGCTCAGCTTAGCTTCTTACACACGTGTTGTCTGAGATCTTCACACCCTCGTCTTTCCTCTTCTTCACATCATGGCGTCGCAGTTTGTGTCTTCCCGACGCCGTCATGATACACATCACCTTTCTGCATTAATCGTCCTCTAACTTTCTGTGAATGATCGGCTCATAAAAACAGGCAGAAAGTGAGAGACGTTGGTGAGCTGTGACTTCGGGCGGGAGAGGATGTTATAGGAGGGCGACCCTGTCCCCTCCACCATCTTCTTGAGGCGGTGTCAGGGAGCGCTTTCTTCCTTTATTTTCCAAAACCAACGATGCAAAATGAAGCACACAGGACTTTTAATTTAGTTTGAGTGCAGTGAGAAAAAGACTGTGAGCTCTCTGACGTTTGTCCCCTCCTCATACTCACATTACTATCTGCTTACTGGGGAGTTTGTAACATGTGGATGACTCCTGGTGGGGTCAGGTCTAGAACCTGAAGCTCCTCTGAACCGTTTTCCTAGGGACTAGATTTAAATCCCCAAAAATGAATTTATTGTTCACTGTTTTAATTCTGTCAGCCCCTCAAAGCACATCACAGAGACATTTCAGAGACCTCTGTATGAGTGGATACCTCCAGATGGGAGGGTGTACCATGACTTGGCCTGTTGACGGAGCGCGGCTCAGATAAATGACGTAATGTGGACTCACTATATTTACAGTATTGATCTGTTGTTGCTCATGACTGATAAGAATTATAACATTATCCTCATGTTCTGTCCTGCCTGAATATTCCTCTTCTTGGAGCTGTGCTGTGTCTCTTTCTTTAAGAAGTATTTTGCCAAAAAAGCAGTATCCCCCCCCTCGATGTTTCAGCGGGAGCGCCCCCCTTGGTAGTTAGTGCTTCATAGTAAGAACAGCCAGATTCTTCATAGCGGCCCCTGGGC